GAGAGAGAGAGAGAGAGAGAGAGAGAGAGAGAGAGAGAGAGAGAGAGAGAGAGAGAGAGAGAGAGAGAGAGAGAGAGAGACGTCCAGCGTATGCTTCCACACGGCGTGTGAATCGGCCATGGCGACCAAAGGTACGAAGAGGTGTGAGGTGCCACCTTTCTTATTTATATATTTTTATGTTTGAAATATGTAGAAAAATCGAAACATTGTAGCTGCGCTGGATTCGATCCCCACTAATGTTGTAAGGTGAATAGGTTGCTGCGCTGGATCCGATCCCCACTAATCAGGGTATGGATGGTTGGTGGGAGGGAACCATAGTTTTCCCACCTTTTGTCGTTTTTTTGTTTTTGTTGAAATCTATGGAAATGACGAGCATGTTGCTGCGCTGGATTCGATCCCCTGTAATGTGGGCAGGGATGATTGGTGGGAGAGAACCATGGATCTTCCACCTTTTTTTTCGTGGTTTTTTTTTTTAATCTATGGAAATGGCGAATGTGTTGCTGCGCTGGATTCGATCCCCACTAATCAGGGCAGGGATGGTCGGAGGAAGGGAACCATAGTTCTCCCACCTTTTTTCGTTTTTTTCTTTTTTTTAATCTATGGAAATGGCGAACAGGTTGCTGCACTTGATTCGATCCCCACTAATCAGGGTAGGGATGGTTGGTGGGAGGGAACCATAGTTCTCCCACCTTTTTTTGAATTTTTTTTTTTTGAAATCTATGGAAATGGGGAACCACATTTCTCCCACCTTTTTCCGTTTTTTTTTTTCTGAAATGTATGGAAATGGGCAATAGGTTGCTGTGCTGGATCCGATCCCCACTAATCTGGGTAGGGATGATTGGTGGGAGGGAACCATAGTTCTCCCACCTTTTAACGTTTTTTTTTGTTGAAATCTGTGGAAATGACCAACAGGTCGCTTCGAATGGATTCGATCCCCACTAATGTGGGTAGGGATGATTGGTGGGAGAGAACCATTGATCTCCCACCTTTTTTTTAATCTATGGAAATGGCGAATGGTGGGTAGGGACGGCTGGTGGGTACGGACGGCTGGTCATTTTTTCTTTTCTTTTTTTTTTAACCATGGAAATGGCGAATGTGTTGCTGCGCTGGATTCGATCCCCACTAATCAGGGTAGGGATGGTTGGTGGGAGGGAACCATAGTTCTCCCACCTTTTTTCGTTTTTTTTTTTTTTTTATCTATGGAAATTGCGAACAGGTTGCTGCGCTGGATTCGATCCCCACTAATCAGGGTAGGGATGGTTGGTGGGAGGGAACCATAGTTCTCCCACCTTTTCCGTTTTTTTTTTTTTGAAATGTATGGAAATGACGAACAGGTTGCTGCGGTGGATTCGATCCCCACTAATGTGGACAGGGATGATTGGTGGGAGAGAACCTATTCCCTTCCCCACTTTTTTTTGTCTTTGTTTTTTTTAAATCTATGGAAATGGCGAATATGGTGCTGCGCTGGATTCGATCCCCACTCAGAAACGAGGGATGATTGGTGGGAGAAAACCATTGATCTCCCACCTTTTTTTTCGTTTTTTTTTTGTGAATCTATTGAAATGGCGAATAGGTTGCTGCGCTGGATGCGATCCCCACTAATCAGGGTAGGGATGGTTGGTGGGAGGGAACCATAGTTCTCCCACCTTTTTTTGATTTTTTTTTTTTTCAAATCTATGGAAATGGGGAACCACATTTCTCCCACCTTTTTTCGTTTTTTTTTTCTGAAATGTATGGAAATGGCCAATAGGTTGCTGCGCTGGATTCGATCCCCACTAATCTGGGTAGGGATGATTGGTGGGAGGGAACCATAGTTCTCGCACGTTTTTTCGATTTTTTTTTTTTTTTCCCATTTATGGAAATGCTGCGCTGGATGCGATCCCCAGTAATCAGGGTAGAAATGGTTGGTGGGAAGGAACCATAGTTCTCCCACCTTTTTTTGATTTTTTTTTTTGAAATCTATGGAAATGGGGAACCACATTTCTCCCACCTTTTTTCGTTTTTCTTTTTCGGAAATGTATGGAAATGGCCAATAGGTTGCTGCGAATGGATTCGATCCCCACTAATGTGGGTAGGGATGATTGGTGGGAGAGAACCATACATTTCCCACCTTCTTTTGTTTATTTTTTTTGAAATCTATGGAAATTACGAATAGGTTTCCTGCGCTGGATTCGATCCCCACTAATCCGATCGATCGATCGAGAGAGAGAGAGAGAGAGAGAGAGAGAGAGAGGGAGAGAGAGAGAGAGGGAGAGAGAGAGAGAATTGGTGGTTTTTTTCTGTGTGTGTGTGTGTGTGTGTGTGTATGTGTGTGTGTGTGTGCATGTGTGTGTGTGCATGTATGTGTGTGCGTGTGTGTGTGCGCGTGTGTGTGTGTGTGTGTGTGATTGCCCCCCCCCCCACCGCAGTGCGGAGGGGGTCCGGCG